CTTAATCCTAGTCAGCTATGAACTAAAAATAGGTACCAGTAAGTAAATCACTGAGATCAGGCAGTAAGATTTCAGATAAATATAGGTGGTAACTGATGGTAAGTTGGTTCCTACGTATTTTCTCTGCACATGATCTGGGACAGATCTCCAGTTGTGGGTAATAGACATCTAGAACGTTCCAGTTGTCCCAGCAGAGGTATAGTGTTCCTTGAGCTACCCTAGGATATTCTGCCTGGCCTCCTGTTGCTCTCCAGAAGACCCAGGTCTCCCATTGGGTCCTGAATCACGTCTTCCAGCCTCATTCACGTAAGACATCTCCAAAAGATGTAGACACCTACATTAAATCCTACGACTAATCCATACAGTTATTAGGACCTAGCTAGTGGTCCTGCTGAGTGCGACGATATGGCTGCTGTAGTGTACTGGGGAATCGCTCACTAGACCCCAGTGAGTAGACTGACTTGGAGTGGGATGCCATTAGCTCGGTATAAGTAGTGCCATGTGAGGCATCCCAGGCTATTTAGGACAACTGCATGGAAACGGCAGATGTGACCTAGGCCTATATTGTTCTGGAGTGGCAACTAGATGCCTGTGTTCAGGCAGCTGAGTGGAGCCTGAGATCTCCATTGCCTATAGTAGGAGCTTCGGCATCTAGCTCACATGTGGGCAGCGAAATATAAGGTGTCTTCAGCTCAAAATGAGTCCCACCCTAGGAGAGGGATTCGTTTTTCTGAAGATAGGTATAGGTGCAAATTATCATTTGACACATTCTGTAGTATCCCAGGTGTCTCTGTGGAGCTGAGAGATGAGACTTAGAATTTACAGGAGACTCACAGCTTTCTGAAAGTGGCTGTAATTCAGGCTGGAATACTCTGAAGTCTCTAAAACTGCCTTAGACACCTAATTTTAGGCAAATGAATTCTGTCCCAGATCTCCATAGATATTCTGCACTGTCACTGGCTTCTTCCAGCTTTATTTTAATGTGGTTTTGAACTACTTCATTAATCTATGTCCACAGAGCCTGGGGACTTTGATGCACTATTTTCTATGTTTAGCTGTTGTGTTATGGAAATAATATAATTCTATTTCATGCACACTCCAGAAAGCAGACATGTAAGTGGGCTTCTTCTCCCTTGCTTTCATCAGTCTGTAGAACATGTCTTGTCTAAACTGAGTGACAGGTTTTGTCTGTCATCACTGGAGAGAGATGCACTCCCAAAGAGTGACTTACCCTGCATATTTTAGACAACAGTCTTCTCTATTTTCTATAGAGGCAGACTAGATGACTGGCTTAGAAAGTAGAGCAAGATAATCCCACATTGCTACATTTCATATTTTGTAATTGTAATGAGAGAGTAAACAGCACCTCCTTAACTGTATAGAGGGATAACCTGTGGGATTCCTTCCTCCTTTCTTCATGGTAGAATCAAAACTACTAAAATGTTGGAAGATCTCTTTCCACTGATAGGAATAGGGAGGGCCGAGAGTTACGGGACAAGTCCTCCACAGTCCTCAAGGTACTCTGTGGGTAGGCAGCATACTTGCAAATGCAGATGAGTGAGATGAAATTGTGTGTTGGAGAGTGTGCATGGTGGTATCTTAACATCTGAGACAGGAAATCAGGGGGTGAGCCAGGTCCAACAGAGGAAGAATATATGGCACCTTTATGAGGGAAAATTCGGGTGTGCAAGTTTGAGTTGCAAGTGGTGGCACATTTTTTCCCAATGATATTTTAAAAATCATATTTAAAGTGTTGGGTGTGTAGCATTTTGGTCATGGTGCATAATGTCTTTTATTCTTTCATCAGCGTAATGGAGGTTCAGCATGAAGTAAAATTAAGTCTGTGCTTAGGTCAGCTCTCATTTTTGACAAGAGACTTTGAAGTGGTAACTATATTTAGTTTCTCACTAGCATCAAAATCCATTGTATTAATATAGACAGATGGTAGGACTGCATCACATTTATTTGAGCTATTGATGTATTATAAATGAGAGCATCTGCGTTGAAGTTTGCAACTGAGAGCTTGATTCAAATACACGCACAGAGGTGTGTACTGTGATTCACAGTTTCCAAGATTGTTTTCTTTGAGTTTTGGTGGCCACTCTAAATGGGCGTGGGTCTAGTCTCCTGTAGAGCCGGTGTCAGATCTGCACAGATGTTTTATATGCCCCATGATGACTCAAAGGCAGCAGGTTTCAGTATGGGGCGCAGCTGAACTGAGCCTTGATTATTGATCTTACCTTTAGTTGTCCTTCACTTCCAATTTTTCTCCCAGCAGTGAGAATTAAAATTCTGCAAGAACAGTAGAATGATAGAACTCATTTTTTATTCCTGGATAATTAACAGTGTCTATGTCAGAAATGATTAATAATCTTAATTGCTTAATGTTCCTAGTAATGATGGCAACTGGAAATCATTGTGGTTCAAAGCTTGAATGGTAAGAACATATGAAAAGGAAACCGTGAACAGCAGCTATCAATGTATTAATGATAAAATTTGCCAACATACCAACTACATGGAGTGGAATTATAAGGCTTTCTATATGGTTTATATTCCAGGGAGGGCCAAAAATGCATGTGACATTTTGATTAATAATCTGTCACATGTATTCATCACATCTGTGACTTTGTATGACAAGAATGGAGGTTCATGTCATCACAGCACATATGAACAAGTACTAACTGATGAATCTCAGAATGCAAATGTAAACTGGGAATAGTTATTAGGTAGGCTTTATCCTAATGAATAGATCTCATATTTTTAATGTTTTTATCAATGACCTAGAAAAAAGCATTACAATTTCTACTAATGTGTAGACTGCAAAAAGATGGGATGTTGATTAATGGAGCAGTCAAAATTCTTTTATAAGGTAGGTGCAAAGGAAAAATATGTTTTAGATGGTGAAGGGCTCTGGAGATAAGGTAGTTTAGATGAGCATATGCTCACAGTGTAATGCTATGGCCACATACAGAAATAGTGTATTAAATTGTCTCTGGTTTTACTGCTGGCAAGACTACCACTGGCATATTATGTCCAATTCTGCTTCTGCAGCTTAAGACAGATGATGACAAACATCTCTGGAAGAGAATCAGAGGAAAGCAGTGAGAATGGTTAAAGGGCTTGAAGCTATGCCTGGAGATAATGCAAGGCTCCAGGAACTTAATCTATTTAGCTTTCAAAGGGAACATCAAGAGACTGTTTCAACTTACTCTGTAAGATCACAGGAAAGAAATTTGATAGAAAAGATCGCCTCACAGTAACAGATAAAATTACAAATTCAACCAAGACAAGTGGTTGAAATCTGATGCTAGAGGTAGATAGCAAATTTTAATAAAACAAGTTAAATTGAATTATTAGAATAATTTTTCAGGAGCTGTGATAAATTGTTTTTTACCAGACTTTTTAAAATCCAGATTGGTAGGTTTTCCTATACTGTGTGTTGTGGTTCAAAGAGGTATAAGTTCAAGAGTGTTTCTTTGCCTTGTATTGTTTGAGAGATCTGCGCAGTTCTTAGGAATAGACCTTCCTTCTTTATATATCTGTGAATCTAGAGATAAAGTGATATTCCTATAATGAAAACATACTTTGAAACATGTTTAGTTAAATGCATTTTCATTTTTGTAAACACTGGAAGTACGTCTACACTCAATAATAAAAGTTAATAAGGTGTCTAGCTGATAACAGAAGTGTGTTCAGTGCCTGGAGTAGTATGTCATGGAAAACAGCGATGCTTTTCTCCAACCAACTAGTGATTTCTAGTTGATACATGGTATTAATATGGCATTAAAGAAAAGTTAATTTAGGAGTTGGAAACTGCTGATGAACGAATAGGGCTGAGCCCTCAAATGCTGTGTTTATGTGGTTACTATGTGACACTGGATGTCAGTACTTGAGACTAACTGTGTTACTTAAAATGGAATTTCAGGTGCATTTGGGTAAAAAACTGGCTGGATGGCTGAGCACAGAGAGTTGTGGTGAATGGAGTTAAATCCAGTTGGCGGCCGGTCACAAGCGGTGTTCCCCAGGGCTCAGTTCTGGGGCTGGTCTTGTTCAATATCTTTATAGATGACCTGGATGAGGGGATCGAGTGCTCCCTCAGAAAGTTTGCAGATGATACCAAGTTGGGTGGGAGTGTTGATCTGCTGGAGGGCAGGAAGGCTCTGCAGAGGGATCTGGACAGGCTGGATCGATGGGCAGAGGTCAACTGTATGAGGTTTAATAAGGCCAAGTGCCGGGTCCTGCATTTTGGTCACAACAACCTCATGCAACACTACAGGCTTGCGGGGTGCTGGTTGACAGCCGGCTGAACATGAGCCAGCAGTGTGCCCAGGTGGCCAAGAAGGCCAACAACATCCTGGCCTGTATCAGGAATAGTGTGGCCAGCAGGAGTGGGGAACTGATCGTGCCCCTGTACTCGGCACTGGTGAGGCCGCACCTTGAATACTGTGTTCAGTTTTGGGCCCCGCACTACAAGAAAGACATTGAGTTGCTGGAGCGTGTCCAGAGGAGGGCAATGAAGCTGGTGAGGGGTCTGGAGCACAAGTCTTCTGAGGAGCGGCTGAGGGAACCGGGATTGTTTCGTCTGTTTAGTCTCAAGAAGAGGAGGCTAAGGGGAGACCTTATCGAGACCTTATTGCTCTCTACAACTACCTGAAAGGGGGTTGTGGCGACATGGGTGTTGGTCTCTTCTCCCAAGTAACTAGTGATAGGATGAGAGGAAATGGCCTCAAGTTGCGCCAGGGGATATTAGGAAAAATTTCTTTACTGAGAGAGTGGTCAAACATTTAAACAGGTTGCCCAGGGAGATGGTGGAGTCACCCATCACTGGTAGTGTTCAAAAAACATGTAGACGTGGCACTTTGCAACATGGTTTAGTGGGCATGGTGGTGTCAGGTTGATGGTTGGACTTAGTGATCTTAAAGGTCCTTTCCAACCTTAATGATTCTATGATTCTATGATTGTATTATTCTATGATTAATTACAGTCTGTCTTTTCAACAGGCCCATGCTAAAGTCTGGCATCTCTACAATGACCATTTTCGTCCAACTCAGAGAGGAAAAGTGTCCATTGCCCTTAGCTCCCATTGGATAAAACCTCAACGTATGACTGAAAAAAACATAAAAGAATGTCAGAAATCCCTTGATTTTGTGCTCGGCTGGTTTGGTAAGCCCATATTTATTGATGGTGACTATCCAGAGAGCATGAGGAGCAATCTCTCATCTCTGTTGCCTGAATTCAGTGAAGTTGAGAAGAAGTATATCAAGGGAACGGCAGACTTTTTTGCTCTTTCCTTTGGACCTACCCTGAGTTTCCAGCTCTTGGACTCCCACATGAAATTTCAGCAGTTGGAATCAATAAGCCTGAGGCAGCTCCTTTACTGGATAAGCAATGAATATAACAACCCCCAAATATTCATTGTGGAGAACAGCTGGTTTGTTTCTGGTAGTACCAAGAGAGATGATGCCAAATACATTTACTATCTAAAAAAGTTCATTATGGAAACATTAAAAGGTAGGACTGAGGTGGTATTATGTGTTTGACAAAATCATAATGCAAAATAGCCTACAGAGACATGCTAAAGAACCAGGCTGAAAACTGATTTTGGTCTTTAACATTCATCTTGGCACTTGTGAAATAAGACCCCAAATCCCTTTCCTGGGTTTGTTCTTTTCAGATCTTGAAGACCCTTAATATCTGCAGATAGCATTTGTTGAGCTTGATGCTGCTGTCTTTGAAGTCAGTAGGAAAATTTCTACTGTCTTTGGTGGGAGGAAGTGCAAAACGTGTGTGAACTATACTTGCAATGGACATAGGGAAATTTACTGTGTTATTTATAAATAGTTTTTTTTTTCATATCTGACATATGAATGCATATGTACAAAACATAAGAATATATATGTGAGAGGGTAAGTACCATGCAGTAGGAGTTCCTCTGAAGAAAACATAAGGCTGAAAGAATACATTTTTAAATGAAAAATTGGAACCTTTTCATTCTGCATCTCAGTGTTGCCCTTGCACAAATTTTACATTGGTACAGCTCTGGACATCAATCACAATAATCTGAATTTACATCATTTTAAGGAGAATGGAATGTTTGACGTTATATAATCTACATTAATAATCTACATTAATCGTTAACCTATTATTTTTTCTAAATAGCAGGAGAAATACACTACCTTCTGTGAGAATTATTTTCTATTTTCCTATTTCCTTGTGGCAAAACAGATTTTTTCAATCCTAGTAGTCACCAATAAGTTGCTGGGGTTCCCATTTCCACTTTCATTGTCTTTTAATTTCTTAATTTACAATTTAATAATTGATTTACTTGTCTATAGTCTACTGTTCTGGGTTTAAAAACAGTGTTATTGTAGCTGTTAGTTCAGATGAAATAGCCATTGTGTTGCATGGCCATTTTCATACAGGGGGTGGGCAAAAATGGCTTTCATTTTATTCTCAGTGCTCATGAAGATGCAGAGGAGTCTCATGTTTGTTTCATCTGCTCTTCCAGAAACCTAATTGTTGCAAATAAAGTAATTGGTGAATAAATACGTAAGCCAGTGCATCCAAAATGGGAGGACTAGAGTGTAAAACAGTTACTAACTATTGGAAGTACAGTATTACTAGTTTGCATGAAGTCAGATA